TTCTGGCTCTGTATTCTTTTTGTCGCTGTAGAGAAATCCAACTGACTTTTGTATGTTGATCTTGTATCCCGCTACTTTGCTGAATTGGTCAACTATGTCCAATAGTCTTCTTGCTGAGTCTTTAGGGTTTTCTAAGTATACTATCATGTCATCAGCATAGAGGGACTTTTCCAGATTTTAAACCATGCAATCAGTGTTCCCTTGCTCCATTCAAAACCAGCCTCTTGGTCTTGTATAGATTTTGTTTCAACACAATTCAGTATTTTATGATTCCCATTCTTTTCCGTATTAGCCATAGTTTGTTTTTACCCATATTGTCAAATGCCTTTGTATAGTCAATAAAAGACATTCTTCAGGAATTCTCTGCTTTCAGCCAGGATCTCTCTGACAGTAGCAGTGCTGTCTCTGGTGTCATGGCCTCTTCTAAATCTGACTTGAATTTCTAGCACTTCTGTGTCAGTATTCTGTTCTAGTAATTATAATCCTTAGCAAGTTTTTCCTTGCATGTGATATTAATGATATTATTTTATAATTCCTATATTCTATTAGATAATCTTTCTTGGGAATGGAAACAAATATGGATCTCTTCCAGTCAGTTTGCTATGTAACTGTCTTCCAAATTTCTTGCCATAAGCTATTAAGCATGTCCAAAGCCATATCAGTTTGTTGAACTATATTAGTTGCCATTCCATCAATCCCTAGGGCCTAATTTTTTTTTATGGCTTCAGTGTAGCTTGACTTGAATCTTTCATTACCATTGATTTTTGGTCATTTGCGTCCCATTATATCTTTGAATCTCTTTGATATCTTTAGTCACCACTGAGACAAGCAGAATCTCTGCCCTCACGAGGCACTCAATCAGAAATCTGCTAAGCCAGCAGAAACACCATTCTAAACCAAATCTAGCCACTACCCTTCAAATCAATATAAGAGCATCTGTCAGCTTCTTTTTCCTTTCCCTTATTTGAGAAGAGCAGTGTATCCCTCGTGTCATGGAGTCTTCTGAATCCAGCTTGAATTTCTGGTAGTTTCCTTCTGATATAATATTCCAACTGTTTTAAAAATAATCTTCAATAAGACCTTACTTACATGTGGTGGTGGTGTTTGCCATTGAATTGGAACTGTGCGTTTTCAGGGGTAAGAAATTACATGAGAGGAGATTTCCCATCCTTCTCTCACGGAGCATCTGGTGGATTCAAACCATGTGCTTTTGGAATTGAAGCACAGCTTCTTACTAGGCTACATATTTATGACATTGAATACTTTTCATATTCTGTTGGCCCACCTTTGTTTAGAATGGGAACAAATAGGATATTGTCTTGAAATGTGTCAGTTGGTTTTCCATCAATTCTTGGACCCTTTTTTTTCTAATGCCTTCATAGTCATACATGACTACATGACACCTACCAACAGCATTCAGTCTGTATGCCGAGCAAATCATTCAAGAAGATAAACAGTGTGAAGATGAATAAAGCAATAAATTTGATGACTCATCAACAACCTGTGTTATGCAGATGAATAAACCTTGTAATAAACCACCCCCCAACAAATACTGAAAATGTCTCAGTGTGTGTATACACACACACATACACGCATATGAGTTTGATAGGATATCTCTGTCTGTATATTGCAGGTATTGTAGTGTGTATATAGGGCACAAATTTAGAAAAATTTCTTAGGTATAACCAAACATCTTGATGGAATTAATCATTGATTGTTTGGCTCAGGACCATAGACATCAAGGTTAGTTGGCAAAATACATAGTCTACAAAGCTAATGTTCTGCATCCTACTTGGATTAGTTGTAACTGGGTTATTTAAATTCTGACAGCAGGAAACTCTGTAGATCCTGTAACATCCACAAAATATCTGTTGCACAAAATATCATTGTTGCAAAACAGTATGTCTATAAGGTGAGCAAAACGGTACACATTTCTTAGACAACCTTACAGGAAGAAGAGGGCAGTAATTTGCCCAGGACTAAAGCTGATAATCCTTACTACTGGGCAGATAGGCAACATCATGATAGATGGAGAAAAGGATTGAAGTTGTTACTTGAATACATAATCAATACTAATGGTAACAACAGTCAAGAAATCAAAAGACCTGTTGCATTAGGAAAATATTCTCTCATACCTCACCACAGTGCCAAAGAGCAAGGATATCAATTAAAAGATTAAGATGTACAACCAAGAGAGAATAAAATAGATGAATGGGACCTTTTAAGAATCAAATCTCTATGCACATCAAAACACTTCTCAAGCAGGGTAAAAAGGAAAGGCACAGACTGGGAAAATATATTTGGTAATGACACGTCTGATAAAGGACTTACATCTTGAATTTATAGAAAACTCCAGTACCTCAGCAAGATAAGCATCTGGTCACAAAATGGGCACAGGATGTGAACAGACACTTGACCAAAGAAGACATTCAGATGACAAACACGTGAAGAAATGTTCAAAATCTCTAGCTCTAAGAGAGATTCAAAGCAAAAGAACTATTACATATCATTTCAATCCAGTAACAATAGCAATGTTCAACAGAGCAGCAAACATAAAATGTTGACAAGGTTGTGGAGAAATCGGAACCCTTCACTGTTGGTAGAAGTGTAAAATGGTGCGGCCACTCTGGAAAGCAGTATGGCACTTTCTCAAAAAGATGAAAATAGAAATACCATTTGATCCAGCAATTGCACTACTGGGAGTATATCCTAGAGAAACCAGAATTGCCACCCAAACAGATACATGCACACCTCTGTTTATTGCTGTGCTGTTCATGATAGCAAAGAGATGGAAGCAATCCGAGTGTCTATCAACAAATGAATGGATAGCGAAGCTTTGGTATATTCACACAATGGAATACTCTGAAATGCTGCAAGACAAGGAACTCATAAAATATTATGCAAAATGGGTGACCCTGGAGGACACAAAAGGACACATACTGCATAGTGCCACTGTTACAAAACAGGACTGACATGAGTGTTGGGGGAACCTAAGAATAGAGGGGATAATGAACACTGTATTGAAACAGATGAGGGAAAGAATTATTGAAAAGGAATATATAATTAGGTATTATTTGCATGACAACAGTCCAGAATAAAAGGTGCATAGCAAAGTGGACGGGGGGGGGGCAGGGAGAGGGAGGAAATTGTGCAATAATGAAAGAATCTTTTTAAAAAAAAATTTTTGTGTGTACTGTCAAATCAGATCTGACTGGTACAGGAGGAGTTTGTCCCTCTTTGTTCAGCAGAGCGTCTGGTGGTTTCGAACCGCTCACCTCTGGGATTGCAGTGTAGCTTCTTGAAAGAATCTTTTTAAAGAGGAAAGCCAACAGGGCGGGAGTAGGGAGGAAAATGTGCAACAATGAATGAATGGAAATCCAAGTTTTCTGTAAACTTTTGTTAAAATATCAATTAAAAAAAAAGATTAAGATCTGCCTAATTGATCCAAGGCATAGTATTTTTATTTGTTTCTCTGGATCTGATAGTTGGACAATGAATAAGGAAGACTGACAAAGAAACAGTCCCTTTGAATTGTGGTTTTGATAGAAGAGTATTGAATGTCTCCCTGGACTGTCAAAAGAACAAACAAGTTGTTCTTGGAGGAAGTGCTCTCACGGTGCTCCTAGGAGGCAAGAATGGCAAAACTTCATCTCACATACTTTGGGCATGTTATCAGAAGGAGTTTGCCCTTTGAAAAAAAATTATTCTGGAAAAGGTTGAAGGTCAGATAAAGAGAGGAAGATCTTCAACAAGGTGAATGACACAGTGATTGTAACAGTGCGCTTGAGCATATCAGCAGTGGTGAAGATGATGCAGATTTGAGCAAGGTTCAGATCTGTTCGTGGGGTGGCTATGGGTTGTATTCAACTCAGTGGAATCTAACGTAACAAAGCCAAGAAGGCAGGAAAAGATGAGAAGGAAAGAAATGTTCAACACAGGAAATAGTGGTATTACATTGCATGGATTTTGGTTAATGTCTGAAACAATATGTGTGTGCTGTTGAATGGAAAATCAATTTGTTATGTGAATTTTTACCCAAGAGCAATAAAACATTTAAAAAATGTACTTTGGAATTTTCACACCCATTTTTTTCTACTTCCTATTCCAGACTATTTTCTGCTTTGTTGAGGTGGGAAGCTAGGTTTTGTAGAATACTGAAAGGTAACTGGTACTTGATGACAACATTTGTAAAGTCTAAATAGCCCTCACTTTAAGACCACTTGCAGTTAGATATGCTTACTTCCTTAAACAGTATGTCATAATAGAGGAAGTAATTGTTGAATGAGTATTTATTATCAATATTCTTATAATTTTAAATATCAGACAATTCTGAAGATTTCTCTTTTGTAGGCTCAATGTTATTAGATGCTATTGAGTCAACTATGACTCTTAACAACACTATGAACAACAAATCCAAACCTTACCCTATCCTGAATCTGTAAATTTGTTTCTAATATAGTTCTATGTTCTAAAATAGCTTTTTAAAGGTCTGGAATTCTGTAATAGCTAATGGACTGCTTGGTATTATCTTGAACTAGGCTCTCCAGGCATGGCCACTGATAGAGAAAAGAACATGTTGGCATGGTCATGCAGGAGGAGGACTTCACACAGATCCAAAAGAAGGGGTAAGAGGCGGTAACACCTATCTGCAAATTTTTTTATCATCTTGCTTGCATTGAAAATCTGTGTTCAATGTTACTGTGTTGTACAATAGTTCCATTGACTCATCTTACTGCATGTTTTCTATTGCAAAAAAAAAATTGATCATGATTAATTATGTGAGATTTTTTCAATGGCTTAAAATCAGCCAAATTTAGTATTTACTTAAAAAAGTTGTGTGTTATCTGTATAAAAGTTTTACGTCTTTAGAATAGTATTGGTTGTGGTTATTTGCTATGTAATCTAGCCTTTTAATTGAGCGATTTACATTTAGTATAAAAGTACTGTTTTTATGTGTATACTTGGATATACATACACTTGTATTTTTCTTCTGTGGTCTATATGGCTTCAGAAAATCTACGTTCTATCACCACAAAAGTAGAGCCAGGAACACTTCACATTTGAACCCAAGTCCAACTGCTGGCAACCTCCTAAATCCAGGGAAAGGTTCATACTAAGACACATGGAAATCTCCAAGGAATGCTAGGTCTACAGATGCTAAGGATCTTCCTTCTAAAATATGAGCCACAGACAGGGAAAACTCTCCCTTAGCACTGGTGTCATGTATTTAGACATCTAGATTCCTAAACTGTGAAAGCATACATTACTGCTTATTAAAACTTTGCACTTATTTCTTTTATAACACCATTTTAACTTAGTGTTATAACAGCATTAAGACAGATTTTGAAATGTTGTTCTGCATTTCCCATCCTTTTAATTAGGATTCTCCTGTAGATCCTTATGTCAAAGTGCTTGGTTATGGTGGCTAGCTATAATTGATTAATTATATCTCATGAAAAGGGAAACTTTTTTTTTTTTTTTTGAAAAGGGAAACTTTTGAAATAAAATACTTCGATTCTATTAATAGTACATTATTATTAGTATTAGAAATGTCTGATGTTGAGTTTGCAAATGTTGTGTTACGTATATTGTCACAATAAAGAACACTAGAAAAGATTAGGATGTATGAAAAACCAGAATACATATATAAATTCCTTTATCAACTGAGAAAATTTTCTTTTTTTCTTACTCTTTTTTTTTCTTAGCAAGCCCCCTTAGGCTTTTGATAGGAAAATTTGCTTTTAGTGCTTGTGTAGTCTTTCTGGTTAGAGATGCAAAGTTTCTGGCCTGAGAAGCAGAGCAGAGGTTCAATTTCTTAATAAATACTTAATTTTACTACCCTGGAATGCTAGTAAATAAGCTCTAGTTTGATTTTTAATTACTTGTCTTATGCTCTGTTCATATGTTTACTACTTATAAAGGTTTACTTCTAGAGGTTATGATTATATGGCATTATATTGCTATCTTCATAATGTTCAGTAGAGCACCATATCACACATACTTATTTTTTAATCCCACTGGGTGCGACTTTGTTATTTTATCTTCCTATGTTGTCAATTTCAGAAATTGATAATTTTTCCAAACTTTACAGTCTGAAATTAACCAAACATTTAGTCAGGATGCATTAATGATAATTGGTGCCTGGAATGCAAAAATAGGAAAGAGTGAAGAAAGAACAGGAGTTGGAAAATATGGGCTTGCTGATAGAAATAAAGCTGGAAATAGAATGATTGAATTTTGTATTTACAATGATTTATTCATTGCAGATACTTTTTCTAAAATACACAAAATACAACTTTACATGTGAATTTCACCCAATGGGCTGCATAAGAATCAAATTGACTACATTTGTGGAAGAAATCATTGGAGAAGCTCAATATCAGCAGTCAGAACTAGGCTAGGGTCAGACTGTGGGTCAGATCATCAATTACTCATATGCAAGTTCAAATTGAGGCTGAAGAAAATGAAAATAGTCCACAGGAACCAAGTTATGATCTTGAATAAATTCCATTGAAATTTCATGATCATCTCAAGAGTAGGTTTGAGGCATTGAACACCAGTGATCGAAGGCCAGATGAGTTGTGGGATGATATTAAGGATATCATGCATGAAGAAAGCAAAAGGCCATTACAAAAAGAGAGGAAAAAGAAAAAACTGAAATGGATGTCAGAAGAGATTACACTGGAACATCAAGAAGCCAAATCCAAGGAAAACATTTTAAAGTGAAAGAGCTGAACAGACGGTTTCAAAGGGCAGCTTAGGAGGACAAAGCAAAATGTTATAATGGAATGTGCAGAGAGCTAGAATTGGAGAATAAAAAGGGAAGAACTCGCTCTGCATTTCTCAAGCTGAAAAAACTGAAAAACTAATTTAAACCTTGTAGCGCAATGTTGAAAGATGCTATGGACAGTATATTGAATGACCTAGAAAGCATCAAAAGAAGATGGAGGGATTACACAGAGTCACGGTACCAGAAAGAATTGATTGACACGGAAAAATTTCAGGAAGTACCATATGAACAGGAGCCAATGGTAATGAGGGAGGAAATGGAAGCTCCCTTGAAGGCATTGGCAGAAAATAAGGCCCCAGAAATCAATGGGATACCAGTTGACTTGTATCATTTAACAGATGCAACCTTGGATGCACTCACCATCTATTGCAGGGTATTTGGTAAATGGCAGGTTGGCCAGCAGATTGGAAGAGGTCCATATTTGTTCCTATTTCCAAAAAGGGTGATCCAACTGAATGTGAAAATTATCAAACAATATCATTGATATCATATGCAAGCAAAATACTGATGGATATCTTTCAAAAATGGCTGGAACAGTACATAGATAGCGAATTTCCAGAAGTCCAAGCAGGATTTAGAAGAGTCCATGGCACTGGGGATATCATTGCTGGCGTCAGATGGATCCTGGCAGGAAGTAAGGAATACCAGAAGAATGTCTATTTGTGCTTTATTGACTATGCCAAGACATTTGACTGTGTCGATCATGACAAGATATGAAGAATGAGAATCCCAGACCACTTGATTGTGCTCATGCGGAACCTCTACCTGCTCCAGGAGGCTGTTGTGTGAACAAAGCAGGGGAGCACTGCATGGTTTGGAATTAGGAAGGGGGTGTGTCATGGTTGTATTCTATCTCCATACCTGTTCAATCTATATGCTGTGCAAATTATCCAAGAAGGAAAAAAATTATCCAAGAAGCTGGACTCTATGAAGAAGCATCAGGGTTAGAGGGAGACTCATCAATAACCTGCATTATGCACATGATACAATCTTGCTTGCTGAAGAGTGAGGAGGACTTGAAGCACTTGTTGCAGAAGATTAAGGAATGTAGCCTTCAGTATGGATTACGTCTCAATATCAAGGAAAAAAAAAGATTCTTGCCCTGGACCAATGGTAGTGTCTTGGATGGAGAGGAGATTGAAACTGTCAGCAGCTTCATCTTGCTTGGATCCACGATTAACACCCTTGGTATGAGCAGTCAGGAAATAAGGACACACGTTGCACTAGGAAAGTCTTCAGTTAGGAACTTCTCCAAATTATTGAGTAGTGATGCCAGTTTGAGGACTAAGGTGCATCTGATTCAGGCCATAGTCTTTCTGATTACTAGATTTCCATCTGAGGCCTGGACAATGAATAAGGATGACAGAAAAAAAATTGATGCCTTTGAGCTGTGATGTTGGAGAAGAACACTGAACATTCCATGGACAGCCAAGAAAACAAATAGGTATGTCTCGGAGAGAGTGCAGCCAGAGTGCTCTTTGAATGCAAGTATGGTGAGGCTGTTCCTTGAATACTTTGGACATATTGATAGGAGGTACTATTCCTTGGAGAGGGACATGAAGTTGGGAAGGATGGAGGGTCGGCAAAGGAGAGAAGAAGACCCTCAACTAGATGGATTGACAGGGTGACTGCTGCAATGGGCTCTTGTTTGTCAAAGTGTGAGGATGGCACAGGACAGGAGTAGTTTCAGGTATTTTCTTCATAGGGTTGCTGTGAGTTGTACTTGACTCAATGGCAACAACAACAGCAATAACAACAGTACATGTTTAAAGTTATGTTGCCTTGTCCTGTCTCAAAAATTAATGAAGCATTAAGACCAAATAAATATTTTAAAATTTGTGCTATTCAATAAATGACATAGTACATATATCTCTGGATTATTGACAAGAATTTATCTTCAAACTCCTTAAAATAGATAAATAAGTTAATAATAAATATTTTTTCGTATCACGTTTCCTTTTCTGTCCTTTTCCCTTTTTGTCTTCCAAACTAATTTATTAAAAAGCAATAAGCATCAGTGAAACAAGAGAAGAGTATATAAGGTGATCAATAACACCCAAGAGTAACACACTGTCTGCTACCTCAAAAGCAGGAGGTTGAAATTCACTCTTGGCTCCGTGGGAGAAAGAAGAACATTCTCTTAAAGGGGATAGCCTCTTAAAACCCAATGGGTGTTCATTTCCTCTGCAAATAAAGACATTTTACTTCCTTTGCAAACCAACCAACCAACCAACCAACCCACCAACCCACCCAGTGGATGGTCAGCTATGAGTCAGTTCCAACTTATCGTAGCCCATAACAGCAATAGCAATAACTTCAAAGAAAGTGAAAGGCAATTGAGTTTCAAGAATGTGATCTAGTGCTCCCTTTCGCAGCAAATATACTAAAATTGGAGCTATACAGAGAAGATTAGTATGGACCCTGTGCAAGGATGACACACAAATTTGTGAAACATTCCATATTTTTTGGGTATAAAGAATGTAGTATGTTTTCTGCTTTAGCTAACCCTTTTGTCTTTCTGAATTATCATTGGATGTTCATTGTAAATTTAGTTTTGTGATTTTAAAATGTGGTGTATTATATGATTTTAATAAAGTTTGCCAGTTTTATTTTATTCCTCTGCATCAGTAATACATTTGTTTAAAATGATTTAAAATGTGGCTCAGTCTATCATATACCTCTTTAGTTTTCCATCTTTTTAGGAACAGAAAAAATCCTAACTTTATATTTCTTCACTGTAACTGAAAATCTTATCTTTCTTTATAGCTTAAATGACTCATAATGGTTAATTGCACAGCTTTAGAACCTATTTTGTTTAATGTTATGTTGCTCTATTTTATATATTACTAAACCATCTAGAATAGTTTTACTCTTAGGCATAAATTTAAGAGGTCCTTATTGAGAAAATGCAAATGTATTTTATAGGAGTTTTTGACAAGATAGTTTTAAAAGATATGTTAACTCTGGTTATTTTTGAAATTAACCAATTGAAGATCACTGCAGTACCCCAGTTTTGGTCATAATTATGCCTTGAATTATATTTATTTGGTATTCAGTCATTTGAGCAAGTAAATTGTGACATTACAGTTGTATTTCCTTTGGAAAAACACTTTGCTAGTTAGAAGAGCATTTCTTTGTGTGTATAAACTAAAGTATTAAGAACTATACCTTAAGCATTTTACTTTTTAACAATTTTTAAATCAGTTCAGGAAGGCAAGCCTTCCATTTTCAGTACAATGTGAATCATAAAAAAAAAGTGAATCGTTTTATTTGTGACTTTTTACCCAATAAAATGCCTGATAGAATCCTGAAGGCATGTGGCTTGAATCCACTAGATGTTCCCCTGGAGAAGGAAGGGCAATTTCCTCCTGTGCTGGTTGGGTCGGATTCAGTGGTACACAAGAAAGAAAAAAAATATTTCTGCAGGTGGACTTGAACTTTCTTTAAGGCCTTTCAGGGAATGGGATACTTTCTCTGACATACTTAGCTGAGCTCCAGGCTGAGCTCAATTCACACAGGGGCCTTGGTTAAATTTTAGTGCCGGCAGGTTGTCCTTGGCCCAGAACCCTGGCCATCTCAGGGCTATGTCTGGATTTAGAGTCTCTTTAGGCTTTGAAAGGAACACTGCCTCTGAAAACCCAATGGAGGGTCAGCTATGGGTCAGTTCTGACAGTACACCAGAAAAAAAAAATAAAGTGACAGACTAGAAAAGTAGTTTGATATAATACTATTCTTGCTGTTCAGGATTTCTTCTATGTTGACAGTCTGCAACAGAAATATACTTGAAAAAAAATTTTTAAAAAAGAAATATACTTGAAATTGTGTAACTCTTTTCCTTTCACTTAAACAAATGAATTTTTTTCTTATTATAGAGTTATAGAAAATACAAACAGAAAGTAAGGTATTCTATGTGGTTCCTCCTGCTCATAGTGTAGTAGCAGTTTATATTGTAAACGTTGTTGTTATTGTTGTAGTGTGCCATTGAGTTGGAACCAACCCATAACTGACCCTCTGATGGGTTTTCAGAGGCAGGTAATTGCATGGCAGGAGATTTTTTTTTTCATTTTCTTTGTGGACCAGATGGTAGATTTGAACCACGTGCCTCCTGGCTTGCAGCACAGCTTCTTGCCACTAGACCATCAGAGCTCCAGAGCATTATGGAAGCTATTTTGTTCTGACAGTCATTTTAAGAAATGTATGCCTCAGTAATTTTGGCAATAACGTGTTTTACTAAGCTTTATGTTCTAGTTCAAGCTGACTCATTGTAGTTGCCACTCCTTCTGCACTTGGCCTGGGGCCTAGACACTCATGAGAATTCAGAAACAGCAATGACTCCCAAAGTGAAGAAATCTCAACTCCCAACCGCAATGAACTTTGTGTAACACTCCATTCCCAATCTCTGCATATAAACCCGATCTTTGCTTCCTTTCAGGGTTGGATCGGTTTGAGCATTAGCTGATGTTCTTGATAAAGAGCTTTGTTGATCCCTAAACTTTGGCTGAGTGTTTAGAATCCTACATTTCTGCCATAACAATAACCGTGATATTGCTTTCAAGATTTACTTATATATACATGAAAACGCATAGAGACATTATTATTTCCCCAACAAAAAAAAAGTTATTCTGTTTGTGTTAGTTACATATTGTTATTGTAACAGAAAAACTGCAAGTGGACAGCTTTTAAAAACTAATTTATTCTCCTGCTATTTAGCAAGGTAGAACTACACATTTAGTGTATTGATTCTAGGGAAAGGCTGTATTTCTTTGTCAGTTCCTGTCTCCTTTTAGACATTGGTAGGCCTGGCATTTCTTGGAGAATGTATTGTCTTGATGTCAGTATTTTCAGGCAGTCTAAGTTAGAAGGAAACACTTTGATCCTGGGTTTAATTTCTTGATGGTTGAACTCTTCTTCTCCCTATTGATTTCTCTCTCCTTTTATCTCATTTAAGATAAAAAGTATTACTGAATATACCCCAGGGGAATGCCCCTACATCAAATCAGGCTTATAATGAGATTAAAGAGGCTTCATCCCACCCTTAATTCTACAATTAATTGGTTTGTCTAATCACAAGAGATTATATTATACGTCTTTACACATATTATTTATACTGGTCCAGCCAATTAAACAAATTTTGGAGAGGCACAGTCCAATCTTTAGTACTGTTTCCTTCATTTATAACCTGTTTCTGTGTTACTGCCTATATTTCTGAATGACAGTAAGTTGTACATATTCAGTGTTATTTTTATATAGATATAGATTTATAGATATTGGATCTGACTGGCACAGGAGGAGATTGCCCCTCCCTTCTCCAGCGGCACATCTGGTGGATTTGAATTGTGCTCCTTTGGGATTACAGCATAGCTTCTTGCCACTAGGCCACCAGAGCTCTCAGTATTATTTATATTTATAGTTTTCTACTGTTGATCACTCAGATGGCTTAAGTTTTTTTCTATTAAAGAGTCATGAGAAAAAACATTGTTTAGTTTTTCATTCCTTTATTCACTAAATACTTATTGATACCTACTGCATGCTACCTAGGGTATGTGATACTGGCTTGCAACAGTGAACATGAACCATTTTAAAAGTACTCATTAGAGTACTCATTTTAAACACCTTAAAAAGAGTATATTATCTCTTTTAGTTATTTTTAATACGTTTGAAAAAAAGGAGCTATAATTCATTTTTTAAGACATGGAGGAGCTTTTACTAAAGAAAATAATGTAGTCATTTCTGGAAAATAAATGTATTGTTTTCATTTTGGTTTCAGGAGTTGTTATTTTTTAATTTTAATATTCTACCTGTAAAAAAGTGAAACTAAACATTAGAATTTAATGGAAATGTTGCTTAAGGAACCTGTAAAAAGAAAAAATGTGAGATGGGTTTAGGTAAAATAATAGTGGATCAGTTCTTGCATTAATATGGTTAACTTGACCTCTGCTTTACTAAAAACACTGTATAAATAACTCTGGTCTACTGTGAGTTCCTATTTAGAGCACCCGATATTCTGAATAAAAAAACAGGTGAAGAGCTTAAAAGTATAATTTTATATCATTTTTTGATTGATTGAAAGCTCTTACCAGGGAGCTCTCATAGCAATAGTGGTAAGGAGTTGCACTGGGAGCCCAAAGATACACTGTTCAAATCCACCAGCTGCTCTGCAGGAGAAAGATTGTCAGTCTCCTCCTGTATAATTAACTCTGAAAACCTGTTAGAAAATCAGCTATGGGTTGGTTCTGACTCCATGGTACCCAACAACAGCAGCAGTACGCTTCCCTGCAGCCTCACTGTATAATTTTGGCAGTGAGGTGGTTATAATTGAAAGTAAGATATTAAAAGAAATGAGTAGCTTTTAAAATTATTAAATTGCTTAATTTTCCAAAAAGTAATAATTTGAGTTTGAAAGATACAGGCCTTATATTGAGAATGAACGTTGTACTTAATGTTTTCATAGATCACTGTAATGTTTATATAGTTTCACATCTTTAACGTATGATTACATTTGAAGTGATTATATTTACTCACTGTTTTGTTTTTCTTTCAACAGCTAAAAGATGTTGATACTAGGAAAATCATAAAAGCAATGCTTTCTTACGTGTGGCCCAAGGACAGGCCAGATCTACGAGCTAGAGTTGCCATTTCTTTGGGATTTTTGGGTGGTGCAAAGGTAATAAGACAAATTAATCGTTTGCTTGTTGCAGTAACTAAAAAAATACTACATTTTCTTTCAACTGATGAAAGATTTATTTTGAGGAATATTACCAACTTTTAGAATTCTGTTTAGTTTTGAAAATTATTTTTGTAGTCATCTAAAATGTGCATGGACCTCAATACCATCACCTTTTCTGTTGGTCACATTTATCACCACTTCAGTCTCTAGTAGCCTCATCTTACTGGAGTACATTTGTGAAAATGTAAAAAGATCATTGATTGCAACAAAGTCTAATGAAGTTTGTGAAAAAAGTTATTTAGAGACGAATCTCATTTAATACATGTCTCTGGTAAATTGAGATCCTAGTTTGCATTAATTCGAGGAGGTAAAGGCATAATGTCAGAATGATGGTATAAATAATAAATAATAGGTAGTTACAAGCGAAAAAAGAACAACCCCCAATTGATAGTCATTAAAGCTGGTCATTTTGGTACTATTCAGTGTATCGGCCTTCATTTCAGGAGCCTCTTCAGCGTCTGAATTTATTTTGACTTTGTTTTGTAATAAAAATTCTTATTATGATTATTAACAAAAGTTTACAGAAAAGTTATATTTTCATTTATTCTTTGTTGCATTTTTCTCCCTCCTCCTCCTCCCTCAGTTCACATTTTTAAAAAAATTCATTGATTGTTGCACAATTTGTGTAAGTGTTATCGTTTCCCCGTTTGATAGGTTTTATTCCTTGTTGAATACTAGTTGACCTTAGGATGATGGGCTATTTTTTAGGTTTCCAGTTCTTTTTCATTGTTGCATGTGTCTTTCATTGTTGCAGTACCATGCTGTTTTGAATATTACAGCTATGTAGTATATTTTGAAATCAGGGAGTGCTATGGCTCCTATTTCATTTTAGTTTTTCAAAAGTGCTATTTTATTCAGAGTCTCTTTCCTTTGCAAATAAACGTTGACAATTGGCTTTTTTTATCTCTTTTCAAAATGAATTTGGTATCTGTATTGGGATTGCTTGGCGTCACAATCAACACTCTTATACCAGAACCCAGGAAATCAAACAATTAATTGGATTGGGAGTGTCATTCTAGAGACTAAGGTGTGCTCAATCCCTGGCCATGGTCTTGCTTTGCATCAAAAAGCTCGACAGTGACTAAGGATTACAGAAGAAGAATTTACACCTTTGCGTTGTGGTGCTTGGGAGAGTATTGAATACTCCATTGACTGCTAGGAGAACAAATAGCTTTGTCTTGAAAAGGGTGAAACCATGCTGCTCCTTGGATAGGTGGATTTTGAAGCTTTGTCTGACATACTTTGAGCATGTTGCAAGGAGGGACCAATCCTCTGAGAGGGACATCATTTTTGGAAGGGTGGAGGGATAGCACAATAGAGGAAGACTCTAGGGGATATGGATTGACTTAGTGACTGGGATAATGGGGTTAGGTGTGTCAGAGAAAATGACGTTGGCTCAGGATAGAATAGGGTTCAGGACTATTCTACATAGGATCGATATGAGTCGCATGAGCCTCAATAGCACATAACAACATGAAGAACATTGGGATTACGTTAAACATGTAGATTGCTTTTGGTTACTAATTTTCACTATATTGCATCTCCTAACTGAACTGAAATGGTGGCATGGAACATTTTGGATCATAAAATCCTATGATCTGTCGCATCAGAAATGAAAATTTGAGGAAAAACAGGATCACATTCATAGTTTGAAAGACCATTTCTAGATCCTGAAATACAATGTTGTGACAGGATAATATCCATACACATACAACGAAGACCTGTTCAAAAGATTACCATCATATATGAACCACCAACCAGAGCCAAAGAGGAGGAAGTAGAAAATTTCTGCTAACTTTTGCTTTCGGAAAATGATTGAACCTGCAATCAGTATGTATTAATAATGCAAAATTTGAAAACAAGGAAGAAGGTGCAGTAGTTGGAATAGATGGACTTTGTGACTAAAATGAGGCTGGAGCTAGAATGATAGAATTGTGTATAATCAATGATTTATTCATTGCAAATACCTTTTTGTAAGAAACCTAAACGACAACTATATAGTTGTATATACATGGAACCTACTAGTCTACACATGAATCTGACTATTACATCTGTTTTAAGAATTTTTGAAGAAGCTCATTATCATCAGTGAAAACTAGGCCAGGTGCTGGTTGTGGAACAGACCATGAATTATTCATTTGCAAGTCCAAATTGAAGCTAAAGAAAAAGAAAATCATCAGCAAAATGTGTTGGATTTTGTCAGATGCCTTTTTTTGCATCACGTTTTAGGATCATGTAGTTCTTGCTCTTTCCTTTGTTACTGTGATTTTCTTATGTTGAACCATCCTTGAATACCTGCCATGAATTCCACTTGGTTATGATTTGTGGGTTTTTTTTGAACATGCAAAATTCAGCCATTCTGCTTCTAGCTTTATTTGTTACCAAGTCCATACTTCCCACCTACCATTACTAGTTCCAACTTTTGCATTTTGTCACCTGTTATCATTAACACATCTTGATTGCATGTTTGTTCAATTTAAGACTGCTAGATTTGGTAGAAATATTACATTTTCTCTTCTTTGGCTTTAGCTGTGGGATAATATATTTTAATTCATATTAACTGGACTTTCTTGTATGTGTATGAATAATCTCCTATGTTTCACAGTGTTCTACTTCAGAATAGATCTTCCAGTTTTCTTTTTTATTTATGAAAGCAACATCATTCTTATTCTGTTTATCATTTCCAGCATAGTATACCATGTGAGTCTCTTAAGTCAGAGGTAGCCAAACTAGTTTCATCACACCAATGCTTAGAATGTCGATGTTTATGCATTTCATTTCATTTTTCATAATCTCTTGTTTTTCAAAATTCACAATTCATACATTCCATGTTTGCATTCATTTGTCTTCAGTTTGATTGGTTTCAAGTTTGGGCTCTACCTTTAATACTCTTTGTGTGCCTCTGTTAATCGTGTGTTTTTCAGAGATCTGATATTTAAGAAGTAGATGGCAAATCCTTCTTCCTATTGTGTCTCAATCTGCGCTCTCCACTAAAACCAGTCTACCATGGGTTTCCCTTTTGGCATTTGACTCACCAGTGAGTTAACTTTCAGCATCACAGCAACCTACATATTACCTCAGTACAGTACAGTAACAAGTGTTTTACCAGTATAAACAATGAATTCCTTAGTCCAACAAAGTGACAGATTACTGTTGTACCTCTAATATCAAATCAGGCATATAAATACGATGTTACCCAATCCAGTTGAAGCCGTCATCGTCGTGGCAAGATGTGTTCAAGGAGTGTTCCTTCTAAGACTCACACCAGGCACAATGGGGTAACATCCCACATGTGAAAATTAATGTCAAAGTGAAGTCCCTTCTAGATCTTCAGTGCTAGTACTTTCCACAAGCTCTGAGCGCTGCAGGCCTAAGTGCCTATATGGGCACTAATTCACTAATGAAAAAGGCCTGACTTCTATGTTTCTGCTCCTTTAAAATAGAGGGTCAGCCACCAACTAGGCTGTGTGATCAAAGATCGCCGATGGTTGCTGTGATATTATTTGTTTTAGTTGTTAAGTGTTTTTGAGTATGATTCATAGGGTCATTATGAGTCATACTCAACTCGATGGTAGTTAATAACAAGTACCACATCAACAATACCAGTAATTGAATGTTGAAGGGTGTGTATTTGGGAGAAATCTTATTTGGCTATGATGTATTTTTGTACATTATTTTATTTATTTGCTAATATTATCCTGAGAAGCTTCACAGCTATTTTTATGAGAGATACTGGTCTGCATTATTTTAATGTAATTTTTCACCCAATTTTGTAATTAGGGTTTTTTACTGTCATAGAAGTTTGGAAATGTGTCTTTATTTCCCCTTTTTACAATGGATTGTAATGAATTGATGTCCTTTGTTTCCAGAATGGTAGCTTTTATCAGTGAAACCAGTTTGTTCTGATGTTTTTGTTTTGGAACATTAGTAATAATTCATTAAATTTATATAATAGTTCTGTATCTGCGCTCATTATTTATTCCTCCATATATAAATTTTGGTTAATGGTACCTTTCAGAAATTAGTTCTTTTTTTTTCTATAATTATATTTTATTAATTTTCATAAACATTTACAGAGATTTTGGGCTTCCACTCATTCATTGTTGCACTACTCTCTCTACCCTCCTCCCAGTTTGTTCTTGTCCAGATGCCACAGTGCTTGTCAAAGCCAGTTCTGATTAATCTTCTTTGTCAGTGTATCCTTCTCACTACTCTAAAGGGCCCCTTTGGCAGTAGGAAACACATAGACTATTATGGAGATTGATTTTGGAATTCAGATGCACTCTTATTGATTGTGCTTGGCTGTACATGTACATATCCTTGAAGATGTATCATGGGGGTGTTGCAACCTAGAAGACACAAATTTGACTAACAAGTTATAAGTACATGAGTCCAAAAATTATGGAAAAGTAAAAGAAAAGATTCTTTCATTGTTTTACAAACCCTCCCCCAGGTCCCCTCCACCATGCAGCCCTCGCTCTAGTCTCCTGTGATGACAGAAATACCCAGTTACATCTCTCTTTTAGACGGTTCTCTCCCTCCTCTGTTTCAGTGCAGTATACATTATTGAACCCATCTTACTCAGTCTCTCCCCAACCCCAAGGACAGTCCCATTCTACAACAGTGGCATCATGTAATATTTGTCCTTTTGTGACTGGGATATTTCACTCAGCATAATGTTCTCCAGAGTCAACCATTTTGAATAATATTGCATGAGTTCCTTGTTTTTTAATGCAGCATAGTATTCCATTGTGCGAATATACCACAGCTTCTCTAGCCATTCGTTTGTTGATGGGCACTTAGGTTGTTTCCAACTCCTTGCTATTGTGAACAAAGCTGCAATAAACATGGGTGTGCATAAGTTCTTTTAATCTGTGTTGTAAAATGTTTGAGCATCGTTGTTGTTGTTATGTGCCGTCGAGTCGCTTGCGACTCAT